TGAATTTTATATCAAGAAAACTACTTAAACAACAACAAAAACAAAGTTGATCAATGGTTACCATGGGTGAAGGAAGAAGAGTTTTGCTTAGGAGGCATTGAGTTTATGTTAATGGTGGTGGAATAAGTTGGAAAAAGATGTCAATAATGCTGGCACACATGAAGAGTATATAATCAATGGCACTGAATTATACATGTAAAAGTAGTTGAATTGGAGAATGTTTTGATGTGTATATTTTTGCCACAATTAAAAAAATATTTACACTGATAACAATATGTACGAAGAAGAATAAAATGTTCTAAAATTGATTCTACAATTCTTCTTGTACAATGATTAGTGAACTATTGAATTGAATAATATGTGGATGAAGTGCTATAAAACTGTTTTTTTCTTTTAAAGAATCACCTTAAGGCTTATTAAAACACAGATTATCTTCCCCAATAGTAGGTCAGCAGGTCTGGGTTGGGACCCAAAGAGGTGTATTTCTGACAAGTTCTCAGATAATTCTAGGCTGGTTGCTCATACCTTTATTCTGTTGTTTATTTACCCATTACATGAATGCAAGGCATTTTTTCCTGATTGTAGGTAATATGGGGGCTTCCTCATCACCTTATACCTCCCAAATTGTAAGCATGTAATTCCTTGTAATGAATTCTTTTCTTCATAAACAGAGCTATTTATATCTCCTAAAATAAACCACTGATTGATACATTATTGTGCCCAAAATAGCTAAGCTGCAAGAGGATACATCCTTTGCACTACGTCAGTGGGAAATGTATCCTTAGTATTGGTATAAAGAGTAAGGAAAGATATTTTATCTCACAGAAATTGTATTTACTGAGTGAGGTTTGCAAGGCTTGTAGCTGTGTCAGTTATTTGAGCAGGCAATATTTTGAAGCAAGGAGTAATCAAGGCTGGACACCTGTCCTTGTTTGCCTAGTACTGAGAGGTTTCCCAGGATATGGGGTTTTCAGTGATGAAACTAGTAAAGTGTAAAGCAAACAGGGTTGATTTAGGCAAACTGGCATATTTTCTCCCTAGTCAAATCAAAGGAAGAAGTCATATATAATGAGAGAGGAGTTGGACCAGATGATAGAAAGAGTAGGTTTCATAAATGATTTTTGATGGTATTTCATAATGGAAGAGCATAATTAGGCCAGGATAAATGGACAGTCTAATGAGATTGTCAACCTAAAGTGAAGAGGAGGAGACTGTAGGATCTGGAGTTGTCTGTGCTTGAGTTTGAATCCCACTGTTGTTTGTATACCAACTATGTGAACTTGAGTAAGTTACTAAGTTACAAGCTTCCATATCTGGTAAATGGGTCAAGACAGTACCTACTTTTAAGGTGTGATTGAAACAGTGCATATAAAGCACTTAGAAGAGTTGCCTTGCTTAGAGTAAGCATATAAAAATGTTAGCCACTAGTGTTATGGCAGTTAAATAAAGAAATCAGGCAGCAGTTCTTGAGGTGCAATAAGAGAGGTGTAAAAGACCAGAGAGGGAGAAATCTAGATGAGAATGGGACTGTGTATCACTTCTTGGTGACTTTTTAAAAAATTATACTTTTATTGGGGACTCTTACATTTCTTATCACAATCCATATATTCATCCAGTGTGTCAAGCACATTTGCACATATGCTGCCATCATCATTTTCAAAGCATTTTCTTCCCACTTGAGCCACTGATATCAGCTCCCCATTTCTTCCCCCTTCTTCCCCTGCCTGCCCTCCCTCATGAACCCTTGATAAGTTATAGATTATTATTTTCATATCTTACATT